TTTTGAGATGGAGTTTCGCTCTTGTTACCCAGGCTGGAGTGCAGTGGTGCGATCTCGGCTCACCACAACCTCCGCCTTCTGGGTTCAGGCAATTCTGCTACCTCAGCCTCCTGAGTAGCTGGGATTACAGGCGCGCACCACCATGCCCAGCTAATTTTTTGTATTTTTAGTAGAGACGGGGTTTCACCATGTTGACCAGGATGGTCTCGATCTCTTGACCTTGTGATCCACCCGCCTTGGCCTCTCAAAGTGCTGGGATTACAGGCGTGAGCCACCATGCCCGGCCTTCTTTTTTTTTTTTGAAACAGAGTCTCACTCTGTCACCCAGGTTGGAATGGCGAGATTTCAGCTCACTGCAACCTCTGCTTCCTGGGTTCAAGCAATTCTCCTGCCTCGGCTTCCCAAGTAGCTGGGACTACAGGCGCCTACCACCACACCCAGCTAATTTTTGTGTTTTTAGTAAAGACAGGGTTTCACCATATTGGCCAGGCTGGTCTCGAACTCCTGACTTTGTGATCCACCCGCCTTGGCCTCCCAAAGTGCTGGGATTACAGGCGTGAGCCACTGCACCCAACCTAAAATATGTAATTTCTACAAAAGATAAATTTCTAAGGCTGGCCCCAGAAGACTTTGAAAATCTAAAGAGACAAATTACAATAGAAAAAACATGAAAGTCAGGCTACCCCTCTTCCAAACTACCAGGCACAGATATTTTTACAAGTAAGCTCTTCATAACCTTAATGACTCAGTCACTCCAATGCTTTTAAAACTCTTCTACAAGAAAAGACTCTAGTTACTTTTTATCAAGTGGAGATGACATTGGTGCCAGTCTGCCACAGAACAACAAAAATAATAGAGAGAAAACAAGTCTGATGTCTCTCGTGGACTGTCGATGCAAACATCAATGCAGTATTAGCACACATATTCCAGGAGGACAATGGAATAAGAATATGACAAGACCAGGTAACATTTATTTCAGGAAAGAAAGGATAGTTTAGATTAGGAAATCTATTGATGTTGTTTAACATCCTAACACATATCAAAACAGTAAAAGCATATGCCCACACTCATAGTTGCTGAAAATGTTTGCTGTAAAATTAAAATCCATTATTGATTGTGAAAAAACACCTCACAAAATAGAACTAACTTGATATTATATCATGTTAATAAAATATATTTGTCTTACCTCAAAAATTATGTCATGTTTAATGAACAAACCATACACTGACATTAAATTGGGACAAAGATGCCACTACCACATTATTGAACATTGGTTTTGAGGTACTAACCAACTTTTAGATAAGAGAAAAAAGTATGGTATGTACAAGTTGGAAAGAGGGAGGTAAAATAACCATATTTGCAAATAATATAACTCTGTGTCTTGAAAACCCAAGAAAATTAACTGAAAGATCACTGCCAACAACAGTAAAAACAAGAGAATTTAGTGTGACTAGATAAAACAAATCAATAGCCTTTACACACATAAACAACAATTGGTGCTAAGATATGCAAGAAAGAACTGGATGCCCAGGGAAGCTCATTCTACAGTTTATATGGAAAAATAAAAAAGCAAGAATAGCTAGGAAACATCTTGAATCAGAATCGTAATGAGAAGCATGAATGCTCTGACAAACGCATATTATTATAGAGTTATAATTATTACAGCACTATGGTAGTGGTGCACAGATAGCTACATCAATGCAACAGAAGAGAAAGTTCATTCCTTTCTGTAGATCACAGCAAAAAATAGCTTAAAAACCACTTTCCTATGTATGTCATATGTAAATTTTACATAAAAATACATGCATATATATACTTGCATATACGAAGAACAGCTTTGGAATAATATTCAAGAAATTAACACTTGTTGGGTGACAGGGATAGGAAGCAGTGTTATATTTCACTATATTCATTGTGTACTTTTTGAATTTTTCACTACTTGTGGCATTATTCTCTAAAAAAGCAATTTATTTTATTATTCTTTTCAAACCCAACATAGAATACAAACAAAGTGGATAATACATAGGACAGAGATGGAATGATTTGCTTGGATCACTCCAAGCAAGGCATCTGAACTATTTACGTGTTTGTGGTTGGAAGGTCCCAGGATCTAAATACCATAAGATTTCAGAGATTTATAGCAGAGCAGACTCATAGACATTTGCTTTTCCTCATTTTTCAAGTTTTTTTCCCCTCTGGCCTTTCATTTATTCATTTAGTCTTCAGTAGAGAGGCCAGGGAATGGCATAGATTTAGGGGCTTAACCACCTCCATCTTCATCAGCTCCATTCAGCTGAAGCTGATGCTGTTTTCTCACAAATCCAAGTTGCTTCCCAAAAAATATGCAATCCATGTAAAAGCAGTGTTTGCAAACACAGCTGCAAGAAAAGTCTCCTACAGCAAGTATATAAAAAGGTGCTCAATATCACTAATCAGGAAGATGCAAATCAAAACCACAGTATTACCTCACACCTGTGAGAATGGCTATTATAACAAACACAAGAGACAACGAGTGCTGGCTAGGATGTGCAGAAGAAGGCATCCTTGTATACCGTTGGTGGGAATACAAAGTGGTGCTGCCATTGTGTAAAATAATATGGAAGTTCTACAAAACATTAAAGATAAAATTCCTATAGAAGCCAGCAATCCTGTTTCTTAGTGTATATGCAAAGGAAACCAAATCACCTCAGAGATACCTGTGCCCCCATGTTTCACAGCATTATTCCCAATAGCCAAGATAGCCAAGATATGGAAATAACCTTTGGCTGTCAGTAGATGAATGGATAAAGAAATTGTGTGTGTGTGTGTGTGTGTGTGCATGTGTGCGTGTGCGCGCGCATGCACAACGAAATATTATTCAGTCTTAAAGATATTCTGCCATTTGTGTCAACATGGATGGACCAAGAGGACATTATGCTATGCAAAATAAGCCAGACACAGAAAGAAAAATATTACATGGTCTCACTTATATGTCAAATTAAAAAAAATTCAAATATGTAGAAACAGAGTAAAAAGGTGGTTACCAGGGGTAGGAAGAGTGGGGGAGTGGGGAGATGGAGGTCAAAGGGTACAAAGTTTCATTTATGTAGAATAAATAAGCCTAGAGATCTAATATATAGCATGAAGACTAGTTAATAATATTTTATTTCATAAGGAAATTTGCTAAGAGTGTATTTTAGATATGACAAATCTATGATAGATATGTTAATTTGCTTGAGGTGGTAATCATGTCATTATGCATATTGTTAAATAAAATTTATGGGAGCTCTCATTTTAGGTCCCAACAAACCAAAGCAAATGGAGTCACACATGCTAAGTGCCACATGATTAAACTAAAATTTTAAGAAAATTAAGAAAGCAGGTAAATTTCCAAACAGATCAGATCATTTGAAATCAGAAGATTCACAGAAGCCAATTGGAAAGGGCCCAGTCAACCTGAGTCAGTATAATAAGGAAGTCTACACTGTTTTAACCCTTATAAGAAAAGTAACCTGATGTTAACCAATCTGCTTCTCTCTATTATTCTGTTTCCTTGTTCCCACCTTACAAAAACCAACTGTTCTGCCATGCCCAGTGGAGTACTCATTCTATTTTATAGAATAAAAACTGCTGAATTCTAGAATTCCAAATAGAAGTCAATTAGATCTTAAAACTAAATTTGTTATAATTTTGTCTTTTGACAATGTGTATATCTAAACATCATGTTAGGTACTGTCTTAGTCTGTTTTCTGTGGCTATAACAGAATACCACAGACAGTAATTTATAGAGGAAGAAGTTTATTTGTCTCACAGTTCTGGAGACTGGGAAGCCCAAGAGCATGGCGCCAGCATCTGGTGAAGGTCCTTCATTGTGAAAGGATGGAACGTGAAAGTGAGCACTAGAAAGAGCAAATGGAGGCTGAACTTATCCTTTTATTAGGAACCCACTGCTGAGATAACAACATTAATCTATTCATGAGGGCTTTGCCCTCAGTACCTAATCACCTCTTAAGGGCCCCACCTCCCAATACCATTACATTGGCAATTAAATTTCAACACGAGTTTTGGAGGGGCATTGAAATCATATCAAGAAAAAAAAAAAAAGAGTCAAATCTCCTAGGCTTCTTTTCTAGGTATATTCCTGCTTCAGTCTCTTCCTATATAGAGACTCTGGAGTTCCCCCTACCCCATACTTTTGCCTGGTTTTCATGGCTCCAAGAGAAAAGGAGTATCTTCTTTTCTTCTGAAAAGGCACTACAGTTTATTGGTCAGCACCAAGTGTATTTAACTTCGGTTTCAGATGGCAACTCACACATAGATGTGTTTATGTGGCCCTTTATCAGTATTCTCATTGGCAAAGCCTTTGGTAAGCAACAGGAGAAGTGGCTAAACAGAATAAATCTAGGCTTGAAGCTACTTTTCCCTCTGGTTCCTTCTGGGAAAAGGCTATGAAAGCTAAGAGTGGTGGTCAAGTCCTGCAGGCCAAGGTCACCATCAAACATTTGCTGAGAAGTCTATCAAAATCACAGGTCTGTATTAGCTCAATATGCACACTGTTGTGCTGGGAAGGAATTAAACTTTCACATACGATACCTGTACCTGAAAAATCCTTGCCATCCGTTCCTTGAAGTGATACTCTAAGCTGGGAAGAACTCTCTGCTTAGGGAAGTAGGACTGAAACTTGACTTTTGATTTGGAGAACATTGAAAACACTCTAAGATAATGAGTGCTCAATTTGTAACTTCTTTTTTTTTTTTTTTTTTTTTTTTTTTCTTTTTTTAATTTTTTATTGGATTATAGGTTTTGGGGTACATGAGCAGAGCATGCAAGACAGTTGCGTAGGTACACACATGGCAGTGTGCTTTGCTTTTCTTCTCCCCTTCACCCACATTTGGCATTTCTCCCCAGGCTATCCCTCCCCACCTCCCCCTCCCACTGGCCCTCCCCTTTTCCCCCCAATAGACCCCAGTGTTTAGTACTCCCCTTTCTGTGTCCATGTGTTCTCATTTTTCATCACCCACCTATGAGTGAGAATATGCGGTGTTTCATTTTCTGTTCTTGTGTCAGTTTGCTGAGGATGATGTTTTCCAGATTCATCCATGTCCCTACAAACGACACGAACTCATCATTTCTGATTGCTGCATAATATTCCATGGTGTATATGTGCCACATTTTTCCAATCCAGTCTATCATCAATGGGCATTTGGGCTGATTCCAGGAATTTGTAACTTCTTGCTCTTGAAAAAGCTATAACCAGGTGCAGTGGCTTACACCTGTATTCCTAGCACTTTGGAAGGCTGAGGCGGGTGGATCACTTGAGCCCAGGAATTTGAGACCAGCCTGGGCAACATAGCGAAACCCCATTTCTACTAAAAATACAAAAATTAGCCAGGTGTGGTGATGTGTTCCTGCATGCCAACTACTCGGGAGGCTCAGGTGGGAGGATTGATTGAGCCTGGGAGGTCGAGGCTGCAGTGATCCATGATGGCACCACTGTACTCCAGCCTGGGCAACACAAAGACCCTGTCTCAAAAACAACAGCAAAGAAGCAACAAAATGGGATTTGTATTTTTAGCCATAGAGCCTTCAAGTTTGTTATGACCACTGAGGAGAAAACCCTTCATTTCCACTTCATTCCTAAAATAGGGTAATCAATGATTATAAATAGAAAATCTGCTCAAATGAAAAACAAAAACAACCAGATTTAACCTTTAAATGTATTTTCTTGGTATATATTTTAGGTTCTGGTAGCAAAAGGTGCAGAGATAAGGGATATGACATGGTTAATTTATTGCACTCTTCATACAGCAGCAAGAATGCTTTTCCTAAAAAATATTTTTGCTTAAGTCTCTTTTCTTAAAAAATCTTTTTGCTTAAGTCCCCTTTTTGCTGCCCACATCATTTGATTTTCCACAGCAAATTATTACAAACCTTCATTTTCCTGTTTCTCCTTCACCTCTGAATCTTCCTCTCCATCAGCAGGATTTCTGATTCCTTTCTTTGCCAACTAGCTGTGTGGCTAACAATAAGTCAGTGGAGTCTCATTGTCCTGTTGTCTATAAAATTATGCTTTTGGAGTAAGCAGGGTCCTGGCCCGCTATGGGGTATATCAAAGTCAGGGTGAAAGGGTCTTAAGGCATTTGAAAATAAAGCAGCAGATAAACTTGACATGGAGTGCAGCATGCCTCCGGCTCTGTTTTCTCCATTCTTTTGGGGTGAAAAGCTGGTGGTGAGCAAGCAGATTCAGTGCTCACATTGTAGACACATGATCAAAGGAAGAAATACGTATCTTTTAAGATATAAATAAAATAGTTTCAAAGTTACTGTTGTGTTCATCCTTTTTTTTTCTTGTTACTGAATTTATTTTAAAAATTTAAATAACATTAAAGGAAAGCTTAAGATTTTTATGGCTATCCAAAAGCTGCATTAAAAAAAGAAGTAACTTAAGGATTTCTAAGTCAATTTCCAGCTCTGAAAATCATCTGATCTGTGAACATGTGCTCTTTCTCGGTTCCGAAAGTCATTTAGAGCAAACGTAGTTATTTACTTTATCCAGGCTCTGCTTACTCCCCTCCACAGCCATCTCCTCCCTCAGAAATACTCTTCTGTGCCTTTTCTGACAGACCCTGAGCCTCCTAGCTTCCCTGCCTGAGATGCATTATATTCTATCTGACTTGGACCATGGCATACAGCTTGGGAGGCTCCTTGTCTTTAAGGTACGGGGCAAAATATAGATGAGAGTAGCAAGGAAGTAGGAGTAGTAGTAATAGTAGTAAAAATAAAAATAATCATTTATATGATAATAGTAGCTAACATTTGTTGAATGCCTTTTATGTGCTGATCATTTTATGTTTATTACCTTACCACCCTTAACAAGGACCTTATGAGGTGGATGTTATCAATGCAGTTCTCAGAAGGGGAAACTGAGGCTTATAAAAAGTATATGACTTGCTCTAGGTGGTAACTAGTGGAGCCAGGATTTAAACCCAGGCAGTTCAACTCCCATAACCTGTGCATTTAGCCACTGTTCATTAACAGTCACCTGTGTGTGTTCATCTTGCTTTTACCTGTATTCAGCCCAACATTCTTCTGAAAATCCTGAAAGCAGGTCATGTCTTCTTTCATTCTTTTACACCATCGCGGAGGGCTGTAACAATACAAGCTCAGAGAACACTTCTGTTCAACCTGCATGAAGCATAGGGCAGGCTGAAATGTAAAGAAGTACATAAATTACCCTGAGCAAATCCCTTCATATCACTTTTTCCTGGCATTACCTCTTAGGGGAAAAGAATTCTCTAGCAAGCTGTGACTGAGCTGGTTACCAAAATCAGAATGAATTCTCCCCAATCACAAGGGACATTCCATAAGCCTTTGGGGTGAGGTCTATTTTAAGGATTTTGTTCAAGTTCCTCCTTCTCGTTTCCTGGCCACACTGCTGAGCACTTTAATTGGCTAATAGGGATTCTGAATAAGAGAGATACAGGCAGCTCACTTGGAAGTTATGGTAAGGGCTAATAAAGATTTTGGAGTGATTTTCAACAAGATAAGATCAGTAACCTAGTATTGAGTTATTTTGCTACATTCATTTCAATCTGTTCTAATGGTCTTTGGCCTCCTGCTTAAATGCCAATTGAGTCAACAGATTAATTCCCCTTAAATAGTGGATTGTCATGTCTTATTACTTAATTCTGGCTTTTATAAAGTAAGAACTAAGGTAGATATTTATCAATCGAGCAGATTTCTGTGTTGTATCCTCTAAAGTCCTTGGGGTCAGTGTCACTAACACTGTTGATGGAATCGAGTGATTAATAAATGTGTCTTGATGAGACTGTGATGCTTCTGGATTGTTCATTTTAGACACCTTAAGAATTAGTCTCAAGAGTAGCTCACTTATTAAGTGATTGTGGGGTTGCATCATGTCAGGGAAATAATCAAGAAGAAACAATTTTAGTGGCGTAAATTTCTCCGAGATAATGAAGATGAAAGAATGCTACCAGTTTAGCTACCCCTTACTGTCTGAGTCGGGAAGAAGGCGGACCATCCTATTCCTTCTTCACCTCTCTTACCTCATTTGGAAAATTTTTGACTATGTCTGCTTTGAGTTCTCTTTTTATGTTCCACCACTTTTGGAAGATGACTTTTCCCTGTCTTCTTAGCATAAAAGGCCCATCATTCTCAGCAAACTAACACAAGAACAGAAAACCAAACACTGCATGTTCTCACTCTTAACTGGGAGTTGAACAATGAGAACACATGGACACAGGGAGGGAAACATCACACACCGGGGCCTATTGGCGGGGACGAGGGGAGGGATAGCATTGGAGAAATACCTAATGTAGGTGACGGGTTGATGGGTGCAGCAAACCACCATGGCGTGTGTATGCCTATGTAACAAACCTGCACGTTCTGCACATGTATCCCAGAACTTAAAGTATATTTAAAAAATCACTAAAACATGATCTGAACAAGTGAAAATTAGAGTCAATGTAAAATATTTGTTAATAAAAAGGTTTCAGAAAAAAGCATTAAATATATTTTAATATTAGTTATTAATAACATTACTATTACTGTTATTGTTGCTATTGCTTTGTCATTTGTGTTATAAATACACGATGGAACTGTTAAATTCAGACAATGTAGCCCAAATATGGAAGCAGTGTGTCTTTCCCAGCTGCAGAGCAGATACAAGAAAAGTTTTGAAGAAAACCACAGGAAATGGAACCAAGAGACCAATGGACAAAGAGAGTCCTAAAGAGATTCTTCTATGCTTTGAGTCCAATTACCTATTGGACTTTCCATTTATATGAACCAATAAATTTCTTTTTTCTTTCCTTAAAAAAAAAAGGCCCAAAGGAAGGAAAGAACAAGCTATGCTCAGCAGTTAGCTGTGATACTTCCTCTCCCTTGCCTTGAGCACTGGCTCCCCACTCCTTTTTTGTTTCTATTCTCGGTGTTTTATTTCCTTTTCTATCCCCTGCTCCTTTTCTATTGTCCTAACTTGCATGACACTGGCAAGCTACAAAATGGGAACAATAGCAACTGCCTTAGAAGGCCGACAGGATTCATGGGAAGCACCCTGAACAGTGTCTAATTCCTAATGGGTGGTCCCTACATGTTACGATCATTTTTTTTCCTTTTGAGCTTCTTTCTTGGCCTCTCGTCTTAGCCTCCTTCAGTATATTCTATGTAGGTGATCGGATTCACCTCCAAACAACACTATTTTGATCTTGTTATCTGGTGAAGAAAAAGGAAAACCTTCAGTGACTTTTCAAGACTACGAAATCAAATTCAAATGTCTCATTATGGTATTCAAGGTCTTCTGTAATCTCCTCTCAGCCTGTGGCTCTTACTGATGCCCCATTCTTCTATTTCTCAGGATGGTTTGGGCTGCAGCCACTAGGTTGACCAGCACCCTGATGATGCTGATAAAAGTGCTTGAGGACATTTTGGGAATTTCTACTTTGGCATTACCTAGGATGCTACTGTATGCGATGCACATTTTTATGTATAAATCTTATTTCTGTTGAGGTTAATTGCCTTGAAACAAACACTGGATTTTTGTATCTGTGCAGGAAAGAGTTAACATAGCAGGCTTGACACTGCTACCCTTAGAAAGGCCTACTTGCCAGGTTAGCGTTTGGTTGGTAACTGGGAAGTCGGCCCTTGGAGCGCTGCTCTCAGTCAACAGTCAATTGATAAGTGTGGTTCACTGTGCCTTGACTTTCATCCAAACAACACAGTTTATGCTTGAACACCTGCTTCCCTGCTTGGAGTCTGGACTATTTTGATGTGCGAGGCAGGGAGTGCCTATGTGATCGGCCCCATGAAAAACCCTGGGCACTGAGTTTCTAAAAACAAGCTTCCTTGGGCTGAAATGTCGTATACAAGTTGCTGCATTTTCCTTGCTGTACTCTATGTGATCTCCTGTGGTGGGCAGACGCATAAGGAAGTCTGCACATAAAATCCTTCAGACTCTGCCTGTGGCTTTCTCCCTTATGATCCTTGCTGTACTCTATGTGATCTCCTATGGTGGGCAGACGCATAAGGAAGTCTGCACATAAAATCCTTCAGACTCTGCCTGTGGCTTTCTCCCTTATGATCTGGCTGTGTATCCTTACTATGTCACTGGAATAAATCTTAGCTAAAGTACAGCTCTACACTGGGTCCCATGGGTCCTTCTAGTAATGTCTAAATGTAGCGGGGGTCTTAGGTACCCCCGACACAGTATCTATTTCAAAACAAATTCTTAGAGCAGGTACTTAATAAATATTTTGTGATTGAGCATCACACATCTCTCAAACATTGTAGATGCTTAAAAAATCTAAACGTTTTTGTTTCTTTGTACCATTTTTTATTTCTTTTGGTACCTTTAAGTTTTATCTACATGCCATCAGGCCAACAGTTATAATATATGGTAGATCTGAGATGTTGTTTTACTGCCTACAAAGAATTGTTCTAGTTTTACTGATTTATTTTCTTTCTCTTCCTGATATTTCAGGGACTGTTAGATCTTGCCAGAGCAATTCTTTTGGGCTTTTGTGATACAGAATTGGGAAAAGGTAGAAGGTTAGAAGGGCACAGGTTTGAGGACTAGGTCTAGGAGAGCAGTGTTGGTGGGAGGGTATGAAGGAGAGAGGCGCGTGCCAGGGCTTGCATGATGTGACATGGCCACATGAAATGAAGGGGTTTTGGAATTGTTGCCGCATACTGAGATTCCTTTTCGCAGTGTTTAAGAAATACAAAGAGAATTTGTTATTTTGAAATTACTTCTTGGCGGCCAAGATAATGACCCCTCTCTAATACCAAGTCATGATTTGCAGTTTATATCTTAGGTTTTTCTTTCTTTCTTTCCTTTTTTTTTTTTGAGATGGATTTTTGCTCTTGTTGCCAACAAGATTAAAAGTGCAATGGTGCGATCTTGGCTCACTGCAACCTCTGCCTCCTGGGTTCAAGCGACTCTCCTACCTCAGCTTCCAGAGTAGCAGAGATTACAGGCATGCACTACCACGCCTGGCTAATTTTGTATTTTTAGTAGAAATGGGCTTTCTCCATGTTGGTCAGGTTGGTCTCAAACTCCCAACCTCAGGTGATCTGCCCGCCTTGGCCTCCCAAACTGCTGGGATTACAGGTATGAGCCACTGCGCCTGGCCACGTCTTAGGGTTTTCATTGATTTTATTTGATGATAGGAACCATATAATTTGTTCTAGATTTAGCATGTGAAATTCCCAGTAAATTCTTGGTGACAATAACTGATTGCTTCATTCATAAACATTTATTGAATACTTGCTATGTGTGAAGGATACAGAACTGAGCCAAAAGTGGTCCCTACTCACGTCATAGAGGGAAGGCTGACTCACATACACACATTTCCTACCAGATATGGTGAATACTGGTGGTGGAATGTGGGAACCCAAGGACAGCATCTCATCCACTGGGACATTCATTCCTACTAGGCTTACCCTGCATTTCAGGGCCTTAAATTTCACTTATGTATTTATCAAGTGGTGCTGATAAATAACTTATGATCAAATTTTTCATTGTTTAATTATCAATTTTGGCTGCTGTTTTTTAAACCTTTCTTTAGATGTTGCCTACATAATTTCCTTAGAATTAAAGCATCAGTGATGGATCTTTGCAAACATAAGCTCTAACACCAATGTGCCAGCCATCAGCAGAGGAGGCCTCACAATGGTTAGAATCATTAATTCATAGACTTCCTCTGATTTTGCATTTTAACTTATTAATATTTAGCTCACAATGTGATTTGCCCAAGGTCACACACCTAGTTGGTGATGAATTGCTGTAATTTTGGAATTCATATTATTTTGCTTATATCTCCTTATTTGTATTCTGTGCCAATCTCTCTGATACTGAATGTAAGTTTATTGAGTGCAGGTGTCTGTGTTTTTATTTTTGTGTCCCTTGTGCCTAACACATTGTCTAGGGAGGAAAAGACTTATTGGATAAACAATTAGATAATCTACCAGGATTCTGTAGAGAAACAAAACCAATAGGAAATATATAGATATATAAGAAGAGATTTATTATTGAAATTGACTCATGCAATTATGGAGGCTGAAAAGTCTCACAATATATCATCTTAAAGCTGGACAACCAGGAAAGTCAGTGGTATAATTCAGTCTGAGTCCAAAGGTCTGAGAACAAAGGGAGCCAATGGCATAACTCCCAGTCTGATGCCGAAGGC